ATCAATCAAAATACGTTTCGGTATATTTTTCCACCATCATCAGTGTTTCTGTGTAGCGTTGTTGCTGCTTTAAGCCTTGGCATGCATTTTGAAGCCTGGCATGAATTGCCTTGGCATGAATTTGCAGAAAATGCATGCCAAGGCTTAAAGCAGCAACAACGCTACACATAAAAACTGATAATGGTGGAAAAATATACCGAAACGTATTTTGATTGATAAATAGAGACAGTAAATGACTGAAACCCAGTAATGAATTTGATTTGGAATTTTTAAATAATATGAAGGCAAATAAGTAAAATTTTGGTAGTTATCTGGCGTAATCATTAAATCATAATTAAATATCCATGTGACTTTTCCTAAGAAATAAAGAGTTTGTTAGTGCCGGTGGTATGTGCAAGTTGATACAAGAATGGTGATGTTTTTCAAGATTGCGGGAAATCTCCATTTTAAACGGTCAACGTTTTGGCTATATTATAACTATCTACCATCAAGGCTCTCTAACGGAACAAAGGACTTTTAGAAGTAAGCGTATTAAACTAAGTTTCACAATAGTACAAAATGGTAGATTAAATAATTGAGACTAAAATGATCACTACAAACGCATACAATTAAAAATACAAAGTACCTACTATATTATTTCAAGATAATAATAAAATTAACAATACCTATTCTCAGTATAAAATTTTATTTTTATGAGGGGCATTAGAAAATAATGAATTCACCAAGAACAGAATAAAGGTAAGATTTCAAAATGACAAGAACAAATGTAAATATTTTAGTAGAAATACGATTGTGCCCTTATAACAATAAACATAATATTTCATGACACCAATCACAGTCAAAAAATTTAAAAAAATTAACAAGTTTTAATCAGTTGCATATCTGAAAATTAGGTTCAGAAACACATTCAAATTCAAAAATGTCGTCAGCCTATTTCCTATTAAAAATGACGCCATCATTCTTTACTTTTAAATGAGTCTCTCTAGAATTCAATGATTCTATTAATGCCTTTACAAAACTTACATGGTACTATTCTATTATATTTTTTATTTTTAACGTCACGTGTTGTGTTACTTTATTAATGATAATTTTTGTCTTTAACATTTTATTCTCCTATCTATGAATTGACATTTTACGTCGTTTCAAAGGACCCTGATGCTTTCTAGATCACTCAAAATGCCCGAAACGTTGACCTCAGCATTCAAATCGAAAACAGTTTTCAATTCCAACAATTGTATACTTTATTTGTAAATGCTATCCTCATTTTTCACCAGTGGTAACACAAAGTCGTCCATTTTTTAGCATAGGTACATTTAAAATAATCACTTGCATGAAAAATGCAACTGATTGAAGCCTGAAGATAGTGAAAAATGTGCAAGAGCAATAAAATATTTGTTCATCCAGTTATAAAAAATATCCTATCTATACAAGGGGTTTCACATTTGATGGAGGTCTATGACAATTTCTCAATTAAGAATAGAACGTTTGCCTTGATATACAGGGTGAGCCAAAATAGATATTCAAAACGAAATAAGTGAATCCTGAACTAAATTCAATACCACAGTTCATATAGAGACATGGCCTAAAATGCTGGTCATTCCATTCGACGCATAACTGTGTTTCTGTTAATTGTGGGATCTAGTATAAAAACTCCAGTATCCAGAACAGTTTCCGCGATGCTACAGTTTAAGTGATTTTTAACAGATTCTTGCATAATAATTAATTGATTCCTAAAATTGAAAAATTGATAATGATTAAAACAGTAGTTATTAATATCAATATTAAATTTATTACAATCAACAAAATATTAATTTAAACCCGTAGAATACCGTACTTTATTAAAATTTTCCAGTATTGTGTATTATCTCACAAGACTCAATTATCCTATTTCTATGAACGGTTATCTGATACATTTTGATATCTCAAAAATCTTCTGTAACTTTCAAGGGCGGATCCAGAAAGAGAGTCATGACCACGCCCCGTTTTTTCATATTTCATAGACAATTTAAGAAAATAAATACTTTGAATGATGGAAAACATCAACGCAAATGACACGCATATTGTGAATATTATGCTGTTATAAACATATAAATCAGTACATAAGTAACTCTCCTTGGAAAAACAGCTTTTTTACGTAGAAATTTGCTGCATAACTCTGTTAACCTCTGTTTTACCTCGATTAACTTCTTTTCAAAATGGAACATCAGATTTTTGTATCTTCCAATGATGCAATAAACAACAAAAATGCAATTATTCGGACGAATCCCAGCCCCTGACAATCCCTAACACGACTCGTCTAGCAAAAAAAAAATGTCCAAATGTTTACATGCGGGAAAACAACGCGAAATCTAAATGGTCTGGCCTGGATCACGCAACGTGCTGTCCGATAATGGCAAAGTATTGTTAAACTTACCGAAAGCTGCATTGTACCACCTGAAAAAAAAAAGAAAAAAATATGTGGTACTATATAAACTCAGTCCAAAACCCAGTTATTTGATTAAACAAGTAATAGAGAACTGAATAAAACTTTAATTGTGTCTCGAAAAACGAAACTCAAGTTCAAGTTATAGGGTTTATAGATTAATAATCCGTCTGACCTGCTTTCTGCGAACTGGCGCCCCATTTTCTATTGTCTACCCATCAATACTCAAAAAGCACACACTTCACTTGAACAGACAATGAATGTCCAGACGAAGTTGAAAATAAATATGAATTACACTCAGCAATTAACAGATAAAATGATCCACAGTACTTACCTACATTTCGCCCGTTACCCATAATAGACTGAACTAAATGTTCAGCTTTCCGAAAAAACTTAAAGGTGTTAATCAYAAGGTGGTATCAAGCTACAAAACTTACAAAATGATATAATCCTTGCTGGACTTTCGAGTAACTCATTCYTTGACTYTGCGATTTCCTTATTGACCGTTTTCTAGAAATTTTCAGTTAACGATCCRACTGATTTGGATATTTAGCTTAAAAAAGTTGCATTCTCGGCCAAAGATAGACRAACGTTTTGTATTCTGGATTAAATACTCGCTTTCCGATCAATATTTTACTCAATTTTCATGAAACTTGAAAATCTTTTTAGCTTGTGAGAGGCTGCATAATGCATGATAGCAGTTGCACCAAAAACAAAGTAAAGCATTCACAAATCATTGCATGATTCAGATTGCACTATCAAGAGTGACGGAACTTGATTTTTACATGAGCTCTCAGATCAGATTGCTCCATTTTTATGTAACTTTGAGTTCGTAAAGCTTGATATGTTGTGCGAAAGACGCCTAAAGGTCAGATTCATATTCGAGTCAGATCAGGATTTATTAATGTTTTCCTCTACTCGCATCATTGAAAGACACGAATAATTAGCTTAATTTTCACACGAGCTCTCGCATCTATCTTTGGTAGATTTTAAAAAGTGCTTTCAAATTCTGCACTTTAGTATTGACTTTCTTAAAGTGATTGATAGAAATAAGTTTCTGGTTCAAACTATTTTGGACGATTGCCGCGAAGAAATATGTTTCCCATCCAAATGTGAGCATCTCCAATCATGGAGCGGAATAGACTTTTTTATGCTAAATTAAATGCTCTCGGACTTTTGTTCGATTTTTAATAAGACTTCATGAAACGATTTTTATGAAAGAGTCTTCAGCTGAAAATATTCTGTGTAGAGCCATAGTTAGATCCACATTCAATGCTCCGACGGAATACCGAACTTGCTTTATACGCGAGCTCTCGATTTACCATTTTTGCTCATTTACCATTTTGCTCATCATGAAGAGAAGATCCACTTTCAATCTGCACGCCTCATTAAGAGTTGAATGGCAGAAGAGCGCTCAACTGGACTGGCACTACTTCGCGTTCACAATACCATACCGATTGCAGTGAAGGAATGTGTTGTGGGGAGACAATAGAAGGAAATTAATTTTGTTATATAATTATTTTTTTATTACATTTATTATTGTAATTGAATTGAAGTCTGTCCTGACTGAGTCTCTACTAGATGAGACTAATGACTTGAAAGCTGGATTCGCCCTTGGTAACATTGTATATGTGACATATACTTTCAAAAATTACAAATTACTTAATTAATCACTGAAATAATTGTTGGAACATAAGAAATTGTATTTTCTTCAAAGTTAACAGTTAATATGAATATTCTAAAAGTTTAATATGCGGTTCTCATCTCAACAAATAGACAAAGTACGAAAAAACCTTCTGCTGAAATTGTTCCAAATTACTGGCAATTCGTATCGCAAAAATTGAGCATACATCAAAGCCAATTTTGAAAAATTTTCACCCGTATATTACAACTTCGTATTAGACATTTGCGGCATTCTTCATAACAGTTCATGACAAATATGTGTAATCTAAAAAGTAAAATCGTCATAATATCAAATGCTATTAATGATACAAGAAACTGACAAAAAAGCTATTCTAAATTAAAAGAGGTACGAAAGGTCTTCAATTCTGTTGGAATTAAACTCGCAAAAACACTTTTTTCAATAGGAGTGAAAATCAATTTCTTTGGGGAATTTTGAAATGTAATCTTCACAAGTAGTGAATGGGAAAAGTAAAGAATTGCCAAATGGAAAATTGTGTTTATGGCTTTGATGGAAGCAATGCCTGTTAGAAATAAAATATGTGATACATACGTAACAGTAAGAGCTGTTAATGTTGCTTTGGTCAAAGATATTAACTAAAAGGGAATTTCATCACGTAACTTCTAGTTAACCACCGGAATTCAGTTTCTTAAGTCAAACCAAAAAAATCACAATTTTGGCCATTCAAAAATTGCGATTTTTGTTGATTGAGTAAATTTCGAATTTGCCATTCTGAAGATTAATATCTCTAAAATATTTGCACGTTACTATGAAACACATTGAATGTTATGTCGATCTGGTTCTACGCACAATGTATAATACAAGTTTCAGTGCACTTCTTTGCCATTCTAATTTTTTGATTAGGGTTTACCTTACAGTTTAGTTCAGTTTTAGAACATTTTATAGGACGAGGAGTTATGCCCAGCGTTAAACTGGCTCTGGACCATGTTAACGAACACTCACGAGTTCTTAGAAACCATCGACTTCACATGTGGTGGAACGATACCATGGTAAGGTGTTGCATCCTATTAAAATTTGTCAATTTAGTTTTTGCCATTGAGTTCAGCTCAAAAGTGCAACAGTAAGTTAATGGTTTTCCAAAACTTGTTCTGCATGTGCCACTTGAGTGTCTTGTTTATGAGCGAATTAGTTTATCCCCTGTTTTTTTTCAGTTAGTTTTAAGAAAATTAATACTTATTATACTCTATCAAAGACATTGCAAGTTTGCAAGCACTTCAGTTAGAAGATAATTTATAATGCTTACATGCTCAAGCATTACGTTAGACAAGTTCGGGAAGACAGTTGCGGCGGATTGTGCGACATAAAAAGTCCCCCTTCTGTCCTCCCTATCTTGTGTGACGAAGATCTCCAAAGATTAATACAACGACTTACATCGGAAATCAATTAAAAGCAAAATAATAAAGCACAAAATCTTAAAGAATTGTGTAAACTTACGTAAAATACAGCAAAAACTTTGTGGAAGGCAAACATGGGTCTTTCCAAAAAGGAACCAGTTTAGATTCAACTATCGCATGTCACAAGCAATCGTGGCATGTTCCCTGATTTAGATCTGCCCGATTTATTGCTATTTTATTTTCAGAATGTTAAATTTGCAAAAGTTTTGCTTATTGGAATATTCAATCAAATATAGTATTTTCGATTTTTAATTCCAGTGCAATGCTGCAGTAGGTGTAAAGGCATTTTTCGACATGATGCATAGTGGACCTCATAAGCTGATGCTGTTTGGCGCTGCTTGTACACATGTGACTGATCCCATAGCAAAAGCTTCTAAGCATTGGCATCTTACACAGGTACATATACAAGATTAGTTCAAAAAGAGAAAAATATGTATCACATCTATGAACAATTTAGCAATGCCTTAGAATTTCGGCAGGAATAGGAAATGGTTTTATTTTCACTCGCTTTTAAGAGTTTGTAACCTTTGTTAAACCGGTTTTTTCAATGGTAAAACTTCATTTTACTGAATATCATTTGTAGAAAGTATACAAAAGTTGAAAACAATCGGCGAAGAGGCGAAGAAAATATTTCATAAAAATTATTTTTAACGCCTTCATAAAGTTCAAAACTTTTCAGGTCAGCAATTTGTCATATAGAATCATCGCGTGAAGATTCCGAGAATCATTTCCGAATACTCGGTTAAAATCACAGTTAGAAGCAAACAATCTGTTATTTTGAATGACACAATCCTACCTAAAAATAAATCGCATATATGCCTTATCGTCTTACCTTTTAGACAGAATGGTTCAGGGTAAACGCCATTAATTATAGTAAGTGAAAAAGCGTCAAGAATAAAGTACAATTTAACTGCAAAACTTCATTGGAGAAGTTTCCTAATGGTGCACATTTCAAAATAAAATTGTTTTTATTTTAATTTTTGACCGATTTATTTAATTTGCATTAAATTTTGTCCACATCGTAGGCCTGGGTAACATTGTGTTGAGTTGCGTTATTGACTTGTTGCCACTCTCTGAGTTAACGAGTTATAACTCATCGGTTAAGCAGTTTAAGTTTAATATGCCATTTATTAAAGCTTGACGAGACCCGAGACTGGATTTTTCACATCTATAAAAAAAGTAATCAACATTTTTCTGAGTAACATTTTACTACTTTCTTCAGACAACCAAAAACAGTAATCTAGTTTCACTTAAAAATGCTGACAATCTTAAGGTATTTTCCGTGAAAAATTATTAAGTAAATTTCGAATCTTTCGTCGCTTTGCAAAAAGTTTTGAAATCCTTTTCCAACGTCAAATGTGGTACAAAAATTAACTAATTTTCTATCAAAAAGCAAACAGAATAAGGGATAGTTTATTATTTGGAATTCTCGTCATCTCCATTCCTGTGTAGACTGTAGTTTGTTAAAAAAAATTATTTTATAGTTTTGACTCAAAAACTATTCTAGTTCAATTTTGTAGACTTTTACTTAAAAACACTGACGATTCTGACATGTATTTTACGTGAAATATTACTTGATATATTTATAGCTTTGTAGACATTTTACAATGTTTTTCGGAGTCGAATTCGGGACAAAAACGAAAAGAAAATTATCCCCCTTTTCTTATAATAACATTTACTGGAATACTCGGCTCCTGAACAGCTTTGTAAAATGTTTTCTGGAACCTTTTGCAACTTCGATCGAACAACAAAACGCGAACCTTTGGATTTGGGACAAAATCGAAACAAAGTTATCTTGTTTTTCTTTCGACAAAATTTGTTTCTCTAAATAAAAACTCAATTAAAAAATTTGGTTTATATCTACTTTGTATCGTCTGCAAAATAGCCGACTAATGTTGACTAAACTATAAATAATAATGTTCCAAAGCACTCAGACTGCTTTCATGCCTATAATACGCCCAGATTTTTTACAATTAACGCGTGAATACGTTTAAAATACCGAAAATTACTTGCACAGTGGCTAATTGATAACTAAAACGTGAGCGGTTGCAGATATTTTGTGGCAAACACAAGATAGAACACGTTTACAGCCTCGGTACATTGAAGTTTCACCCATGATGCAGATACCTCACAAAAACAATCCTGCCATTAAAATTCGAAATATTGTCTCATTTAATTTGTAGCTCTCCTATGCTGATACTCATCCAATGTTCACCAAGGAGAATTTTCCGAATTTCTTCAGGGTAGTGCCTTCAGAAAATGCATTCAATTCACCACGACTCTCCCTTTTAAAGGAATTCAATTGGACTAGAGTAGGAACTATCTATCAAAATGAGCCCAGATATTCTCTGGCCCATAACAGGTAGGCTTGATCTCATTATACAGGCACCAACATGGTTGAAATGTTTATAGTAGTTTACTTTTGGTTTCGTTTAGAATGCACTAATTCTTCTTTTTAGGCTGGTAGCTGAATTAGACATTCTGGGTTATCAGTTGGTAGAAACACAAAGCTTTACAAATGAAGTAACATCAGCGCTCATGAAACTAAGAGAAAAAGATACGCGCATTATATTAGGTAAGGAGTATGAAAGAGAATTTTGAAAGCAGTCAGAAAAATAAAACGTAGCGAAATGATTTTAAGGCAATTTCAATGAAAAATGGGCAAAACATATCTTTTGTGAAGCCTACCATTTGGAGATGTATGGACGAAAATATCAATGGCTCATAATGGGCACTTACAGTACTAATTGGTGGAAAAAGTTAGAACCGGACGTAAATTGCACGTTGGAGGAAATAGAAACCTCATTAGAGCAAACCATATTAACCGATCTATTGCCTTTGAGCACAAGTGGGGAGATTACAATAGCAGGAATTGTAAGTTACAGCTTCTAGGCTTGTCAGGACTTTTAGTATTTGGTTGCTGTTCCTTTTAAAAATGTGCCTTGCCTTAATTTACATAGTAATACATGATTAACTTGAACTGAATAATGGAACATCATTTGGAAATTGACAAACTACAAAATTAACATTCGCTATTAGCACCACTCCTTCCATGATTGGCTAATGGCTCTGTAAAGCAGCTCTGTAAAACATTATAAAATAGTTCTTCAGCACAGGTTTAATTAAATTTTTGCCTGTTTTCGACTGATCGGAAATAACAATGGAGGTGGTATATTGAAACTATGAAGTTTCCAAAGTTGTTTATCACGTTCAACCAAAACTCGAATAACTCAGATTTTTAGTAGTTTCTATTTATATGCTAGTGTGACACTTAATGACCTTCCTTATTAAATAGATTGTTAATAATGTGAAGCCGAATATAAAATATGTATGCTTTCCGGCTAACTTCTACAACTTTTTCTATTCTCCAGACAAAGTATGTTCCTCAGTTTCCAAAGCATTTCTTTTTGCTAGAACTGTTTTTGGCTGAAAGATATATTTTACATATTTAATACCGAACAAAATGCTTGTCTTGTTGTTCTTCGACGCTTATTTTATCCCGCCCCTTAACTTTGGATTAGTTTTTCCAGTTTTAAAGTTGTGTTTTGACTTGAACTTTTGATGGTTGAAAGTTGAGTATGATTTCAAAATGACTTATACGCTTCCTGGTCTCTTAATAATATTAAATTTATAATATCATCTCTCTCTCAATCAAGTCTTAAATTAACTATCTAGGTTCAATCCGCAGGTTGGGAAAGAATTTTGACCGATAGCGAAAACCCTATTTTAATAAACGAAATTAACTGGGTTTATTACTTAACATTTGCGTTATTCAAATTTCTTGTTCCATTTCATAGATGATCAACCTTTCGAATTCACGTTCGTCTCAAGCTTCATCATTAGCCCCAATTTTTATGAAAAATATTGTCGATTTTACAATAATTTTTCTGTCTTACAGACCGCAAAAGAATATGAAGACGAATACCATTCCAGGAGAAATGGGGAATTTTCCCGTTTTCACGGCTACACCTACGATGGCATATGGGCGGTAGCTTTGGCTATCGAACATGTAGCAAACAACATCAAAAGCGCTCAATCCGATCGCTATTCCAATGTGAATGCATTTCGTTACAGAGATCCGGTGTGGGAAAAACTATTCTTGGATGCATTGCGAAATACCAGTTTTGAAGGTAGGCACATATGAAACTCTTATAATTACAGCTACAAAGAGATTTTAGGCTGTTTAATTTATAAGGAGAACGGAGGTAGATTAAACTTTCTCATTTGAATATCTCAGTTGTTGCATACAAACTAAAACCCTTTAACACGCGTTAATTTTTAAATCACCTTAATTTTGTTGTAAAAGGGCCAATTTTTATTTATTTCTGAGTTGCTTAATTATTATCTGACTATCTGATTTGTTTAAATTTTAATTAATTTAATTAAATTAAAATTTTGTGGAAATATTAAATGAATTTGTTCTGCTAGATCTCAAACTTTTCGGAGATACAATTTTTTAAATTTTTTGTTGTACTTTTGGTAGAAGCCGAATAATAAAAACGCTAATAATTTTTTTAAACAAAATAGTACTTGCAGTTTGCGAAATATGAATGTCAATACACATAAGAACAATAAAATTTAATCTTAAATTAGACATGGCTTTATGCTTCCAAATATTAGCTTATTGTTTTTTTCATGCTGTTTTTTGAGAAACAAACTCAATAAAGAAGGTAAAGCTTTATCCATCAAAACCGGAACTACAAATTGAACCTCATTAATTATAAATTTGCTACTATTTTATGGGGTTCTAAAATATTCTTGTAAATAACAATTTTGGGTTTCCTTAAGTGGCAACGTTATATACTGTTTATATAAAAATAGATAGCTGCTAGTATTAAATTTAAATGATCTTTAAATAGATGAACAAAAAAGTTATTCAAATTATTTCTAGATAACAAAAAAATATATTTTTACAAAAATTTTATTTACAGAACTGATGCATGCCATTATCCTGTCATATGTTCTTTATTAGGCTTACACACAGGGTGTTAAAGTCTATATTTACTATTAATTTATTTTATATATATAAGGACATCTTAATATATTCAAAATTTGACACTCACTAAGTAATTAAACGCAGAATGCCGATAAATCTTGTGAGTAATTTTATACCATATTTACAAAACATTTCCACAATTTACCGAAACTTTATTTAAATAAACATACAAACATATTTGCAAATTATTCATTATTAAACATTACTCAACATTAATTATTAAGCATTATTCATTATTACGCACACTTTAAAAATTAGAAGTACTTTTTGTTCATGGAACAGGGTGCATAAAACACACGCGTCTGTCATACGGTTTGTCACTTTTAAATGCTAACTACTGTTTAGTCTACTAACTGTACTTGTCGATTAATTACCGAATTAATTCCAGTTTATGTATTAAATTAGTATTAAGTCCTATTGCATAATTCCTAAAACAGTAAAGTAAATCACATAAGTCTTCTGTTGTATGTTGCAAACAACCTACGTGCAAGTGGAATAAAAAGATAACTTTTCTATAGTATATTTCTTAAAAAAACTTATCCAGCCAGTGTTTTTAATTTGGAAAAATTTGGACAAAATTCATTTCTCCAATAATTTTAAATCGCAATTTGGCACAATAGGTAGGTGTCGAACGATTTTAAAATGATCTTACTCGACAAGTTTGTCGGTATGTTTAGTCGATCTTCGGCACTTTGCGGGAGATTGTTTTGGCGGATAGCC